GCCTTGCAAATTCGTGACCGCGCCAGATCCGAGGCGGAGGCGCGCTCCTCGGACGCGATGGCGCACGGCCCCGTCGCGTCCCGCGCGAGACCACCGCGACGCCGACGGACCGACGAGATCGCGCGCGCCGAGGGACGACGGCGGGAGCGAACGCGAGGCGCGGGACCGCCGCCGTCTCGAGCTCCGCGCTCCGGCCCCGCTGCGCGGCGATCGCCGCCCCCCCCGCAAAATCCCGGACACTCGTCCAGCTCACGCAGTGAACCGCGCGCGGCGCCTCCGCGCCGCGGCGCCGGCCCGGCGCCTCCGCGACCGAGCGCGCGCCGAGCCCGACCCGACGAGGATGGTACGCCCGGCGCACGCCGCCCGGCGCACGCCGAATGCGCGCCAGGACACGGCGTACTCCCGGCGCACACCAGACGGCGTACGCCCGGATTCGACTAAGACCAAGGTTACACCTGGAGTACACGTCGGCCTGGAGCACGCCAGGCGTACTCCCGAGTCAGCGCACTCTCGGTGCACGCCAGGCAGCAGGCGTATCCCAGGCGTACGCCGACCGGCGTACGCCGAGCGTACGCTTGGCGCTCAGCGTAGGCCCGGCGTACCCCGCCGTGCCCCGTGTTGGAGTTCGAAAAGTTTGAGGACGATCTCCGTCGACGTCGGAGCGCGCGCGTGCACCGCCACTTGCACGCCACCGACGCCATGACTGCCGCGCCGTTCCGCTGGGCCATCACGAGCGCGGGCAAGATCGCCGCGGACTTCGCTGAGGCCGTGCGGCGCCTCGACGGCCACGCCGTCGTCGCCGTCGCCGCGCGGAGCCGCGCCGACGCCGAGGCCTTCGCGGCGCGGCACTGCGACCGCGGCGTGCAGTGCTACGGCGGCTACGAGGCCATGTTCGAGGGCGCGCGCGACCACGGCGCCGACGCGACCTACGTCGCGACGCAGCCCGACACGCACGCCGAACTAGTGCGGGCGCTCCTCGCGCGGAAGATGCCGACGCTCTGCGAGAAGCCCCTCGCGGCGACCTTCGCCGAGGTCGAGGCGTGCTACGACTACGCGGCGGCGCAGGACACGTTCCTCATGGAGGGCGTCTGGACGCGGTGCTTCCCGGCGACGGTCGAGGCGCGAGCCGCGCTCCGGTCGGGCGCCGTCGGCGACGTCGTCGCCGTCCAGGGCGAGTTCGGCTACGACATCGCGAAGGGCTGCCCGGCGAGCGTGCGCGGGCACCGGGCCACGGGCGGCATGTCGCGT